ATCTCACATATGGCTACTCTGATGTAAGAATTAGTAGAAGAAGAAAACTGAATATAAAGTATGAAAATGTCTGCATGTATGATTGCAAAAGTTGAGAGTCTGATTCCTTATTTAAGAGGACTCGCCTCTAATTGTATTCTATAGTAGTAGTTTCGGGGACAAATATTTTCATCTTTTGATATCAAATTTCTAGCCACCCTCTATGATCTCCTTAACATCCGAAGCCCGACATAAGAACGTGACCACTTGAACAAGACGATTTGTTTGATGTGGGGACACATTATAACATTTTCAAATATTGTGGACGAACATCCCATGTAACTCTAGGCATTAAGGATAAACTCGTGTATCTATCAGCCATGCACCAAGAAGGCAAGCATACACTATTTGTCCTATACATAGGCGAGACACCCAACCGCCCCTTAGAGTACTTGGTGCTGATTGATGGGCACTACACCATGAAGAGTACAGTAGATAGCCACATTCATATAACTCACATGGTCCTTTGATGTTGGAAGGATAGCGACAATTACTTCCACCATCAAATGGCATGTATACTTTTATTATATAATATCTAAAAGAGAAATTGTTGTTCACTTTCATATTTTTGCTATTCAATTAATGCCATCTCCATCTTTTTTCAACTCACATCTCACCACATGCATGTGGGAGAGAGATGGGTTCCATGCATGACATGTACGAATACCATATAGATTGGTTTGAGAAAGTTGCAGTCCTCTATGCTTAAGCTCAACTATACGATCTAATATGTCATGGGCAAGTGTTTGTTTAGGCCTTTGTTCGTGTGATACCCGCAAGCGTACAGGATCGTTGACAAGTAATAATAAGTGAGTTAAGAGTTATCGTCCCACAGAGAATAAATTTAATTCAAGTTTACTAGTTTCGTATGGAATTCTAGTTATGGAAACAAAATAAATATTTTGATTTGATTTAAACTAAACTAATCTAAGAAAGCAATAAAAATTGGGATTTTATCAAATTATAGAGGATTGTATAGGCTTTTGACTCCGCCTATTGCTATTATTTCAATTCTTGATTCGTAATCTAATTTCTTTCACGAGTTCTTGACAATCGATAACACTAATATGTTAAATATTCTTTACCAAGACACACCAAACTATGATTAACACGACCCGATCCTATTCCTAGTCCGAATTCATATAAAAATCATGAATTTAGTTTAAGTTATCAACATGATTGTATTTATGATAGATATTATTCATAATCCTAACTATACACGTTAATTTTGCTGCGTTCTAGACTCGTTGTGAGTATTCTTACACTGCAACAAGAAACTAACTATAAAATTGATGGTCAAACAATTCAATAGTGCAATGGGAATGCAAAATTAATCAACACACGAATTAAACTAAATACTTGTCTTGAATTAAAATAAATAAATAATAGGGTTCATCTCATCCAATACAATGAAAAACTAGTTTAGCATATTAATATATAAATTACAAGAAGAATAATAGAAAAATATCACCCGGATCATGAAAGAATACAAAAAATGTTGATCTTCA